ACGTCGCCCGAGGAGCCAGAGACGCCACCGTTCGCCCACTCAACCGTCACGCGGCCAGGCTGAGAGGGGTCAAGGTGCAGGGAGATCTGGCCCATACGAGCAGAGGCGCCAGTGGCACCGGTAAGGGCCTTCTGGAAGAGGTAGTTGCTGGCGGTGTCGCCGGCAACACGGCCGTAGACGACGCAGCCCAAAAGGGAGGATCCACCGAGACGGTTGGCACCGTGGACACCACCGGCAAGCTCACCACAAGCGAACAGACCATCGAAGGGCTTCTGCTCCTGGTTGAGGACCTGAGCCTTGTCGTTGATCTCGATACCGCCCATGGTGAAGTGAAGCACGGGCTCCATGACAGCGACGTGGAAGTCGTCGTTGATGTCAACGGGCAGGTTGTGGAAGAACTTCTTGCCCCAAGGGTCCTTCTGCTTGCCATCGGCAATGGCGTTGTAGGTCTGGAAGGTCTTCTGGAGGTGCTCAGGCTTGCAGCCGATCTCCTTGGCCAGCTCCTCGCCAGTCATCTTCTTCATCAGACCACGGCCAGAGTAGTGGCGGGTGTGGAAGTCAAGAGTGTTAGAGGCCTTGGAGTTGAGGATGAGGCGGATGGGGAACTTGTTCTTCTCCTTCTCCTTCCACATCATGCCGGAGACGTAGTCACGGTGACCGAGCTCATCGCAGAAACGGTCGCCGTCAGCGTTGAGCAGCAGGCCACCCTCACCACGCAGAGCCTCGGCAGCGAGGAACTTCCACTTGGAGCCAGGGTCCTTGGGATCGACGAGACCGGTGGGGTGAACCTGAACCTTGTCCATGTCGATGCCGTTGCCGCCAATAGCCATGACCATCTTCTGGCCGTCACCAGTGGCGTGGGAGCCGTTGGTGGTAGCGAGGCCGAAGGTGTCTGGCCTGTGCTGCTTCAGCAGCGATGAATCGGTGAAATCGGCAGCGTAACCACCGGTAGCCAGGACGACGGGGCCATCGAGGTCCTGCTCCTCGCCGTTGTGCTCGTACTTCACACCGGTGATGGTGTTGCCGTCCTTGTTAAGGCTGACGACGCGGGCCTTCTTGATGATTTGAACGCGAGTGGGCTCGGTCTCGGCGAGCTCCTCGAGCCTCTGCATCAGGGCGTAAGTGATGGCCATGCCGGGGAACTTGGCATCGTGGCCACGGTGGGTTCGGGGCTGGGAGTGGCCACTGCGAGGGGCGGTTAGCATGTACATAGCATCGAGAGCTCTGGCTTTGATGACCACTTACCCGAGACGGGAGACGAGAGTGAGATCGAGGTTGAAGACATCCTGGAGCCACTCAACGGCAGCAGCGGACTTGTAGGTGAGGACCTTGATGAGGTCGGGACGAGCCTTATCACGAGCGGACTTGAGGGTGTCGTCGTAGAACTGCTTGACGCTGTCGGCGACGCCGGCATCGACCTGTGTCCTCGTCAAAGCACCGTTGATGCCGGAAGTGGCCTTTGTGGAGTTGCCTCCGAAGAAGCCTGGGCCGAGTGGCGTTAGTGTGGGTTCTGAGCACATGGGTCATCACACGTGAGAGAGAGGTCAACTCACCCTGCTTGTCGAGAACGACAACATTGCCGCCAGCGAGGTAGATGGTGTGCGCCGCACTCAGGCCGGACACTGGGAAGCATGTCAGTTAGGCGTTGATTCATGCAGGAACACGTGAAACCGCAGCCGCCGGCAATGACGACAAGGGCCATGGCGCGGGGGGGAGGTTTCTGTCCTGCCAAATGGGCGTGGGGAGCAACTTACGACCACCGCCGACAACGATAACTCTGGGGGCCATGTTGACTGATGTGTGTGGTAGTGAAGATGGGGAGGGAGAGTCGGAAGAGGAATGGGATGGAAGGAGTTCGAGGGGAGGAAGAAATCAAGAGGAGAATGAAAGGTATGGGAGGGGAGGTTTATGAGGAGCTGGAAGCGACAATGGGGGAATGCTGTCGCAGTCGCTGCGCCGAGGACTAAATGCTGAGGAGCCGGCGCTCGGGCTGGACGCAGCTGCTGCTGACGGTGTCGGTGCTGGGGCGACGATTCGTGAGCCGAGGTCGACTGGGGCTGCTTGCAGGGGGACGCCTTTCGGGCCTCTGGGGCCTTTTTGGGGGGCTCTTGGGGGGCGCGGTTTGGCGCTTGAGGGGGGAAAGGAGGGGCGGTCGGGGCGTCTGGGGCACCTGCCGATTGCCGGTTCCAGTTAAACTCGGCCTAGCTAGCCAATCCCTCACAGTACAATGGTCATGGATATGTGGCGAATGGGATGGAGGAAACCTCGTGAACGAGCCGAAGCCTGACAGGACCAGTTAGGAGTATCGGGAAGCTGTTTGAAAAGATGCTCTTGCGCGCCTTTGTTGCTCAGTCCGGTCATGCCGCTGGTGAACCCCAAATTTGAATGGGTTGACCCTTTTTAAAGCCAGCATGAACCACTGGAGCCTCTTCGCCAGGGACCGCAATTCGCATCAATTCAAGCCGAGCTGTCTTTTGCGGTTTCGCGTGCACCTCCGCCGAGGTCGCAAGTACAAAAAAAATGGACAGACCATGGGTGGGGGTCAGAGGGGGTCAGAATCCTCTGCATCCTGGTTGGGGTTATTCCCTACCCTTCTACGTGCGTGCTCATCGTCGTGTGCTCATCCGTCGTGAAAACCGATCGCAAAAAGCTTCTGATCTCAAAATGTGCAACACGAGGTGTTCTCGACAATCATGGGGAAATCGGCGCCCAGACCTGACCCATCTCCAACTGTCCGACATGCGCGCGCTCCTTTCACAAGTTGGTCGTCTGGCATGTGATTCTGCTCCTCTCCGTCACTGCTTCCGGCCAGTCCTGGCCCAACTCCGTCCCTCCCCCACACTGAGACTCGTGTCGTGTGGCCTCCCAGTCGCCGCGTCAGGTGACAGACCCAAGCGGAGCCCCATCCTCAGCTGCAAGTCTCCAACACCTGCCGCATGATGCCCTCTCCCCCGGATTATTTGGTCGATGCTTGCATGTGAAAGCCGTCTAGAACCAGCGATGAATCTGGGGTAAACTGCCGTCGGGACAGGCGCCTGTCATCATTCATGGATGGGAAACCACATGACGGGATTAACGGCGAGCGGTAGCTTGAAGCCGGCTTGCAAGACTTGGCCTTGCCCCCTGGAGAGCCCTCTCTTCGGTGTACTGGATCACTGTTGCGCGACCTATCGCAATGGATGAGTGCTGCAGAGCGACAGACAGATCACGACTCTTTGGCCCTTGTTGTTTACCTGGACGGAGATGATGCAGCAGCGCAACCGGCTGACGCCAGCAAACATTCCTGCCACAAGTCAAATCCCTGTTTCCGTGTCCGTATTTCGAGGACATGCCATGTTCTTTCGTGCCTGCCACATCTCCTGCCATGGAAGTTTCTTGATTTCAGCAGCAAGCTGTTTCTTCCTAGGCATGTCCAAGTTCTATCTACTCTCCCTAGTATTAGTTCCTTCAACTCCAATCTTTGTCATGGCTGCACTTGTCAATCAATCCCCAATGCCATGGTTTGCTCCAGTTTTGGCGTGGTTCGCAGTGATGCGCTGCTCAAGAAACCAAGGCTACTCGTCTGGTCAAAGTCCAGGGACGGCGAAAAAAACCCTTGATAAAGCCAAAGAGGCAGCGGACGGAGAGTGTGAAGCTGGACAATCGCATGCATCTTTGTTGCCGGTGCCATTGCCCCTTCGAGGATGATGTCACCGTGCGACGGCCAATCGCGGCTCAGCCTGCAGGTTTGGATGCGTTTCCTCCCAAATACTACAAACCCCAACTGTATCGCCAACCACTGGCCAATTCTTTCTCCGCCATGACACACACATCATCAGGCTTGCGGGGAACCTAAAGCCTAGGAGCCATTATGAAAGGCCTCGCTACTATCGTCTTCCTGGCATCAACGTCCCTCGTCGCCAGCCAGCTCATCCGCACCCCTCATCTCGATACTCGACGACCCCCGCAGCACCGTGACCAGAAACCCCTCAACATGCCCGTGGTTCCGCCCTCCAACCCTTCGGATCCGCACCCTCCTTCCGGACAGGGGAGTGTCATTCTCTCCGATGTTCTGAATCGAGATAAAAGCATCAATATTTTTGCAGGATTTACGCATGACATTGAAACAGCTGCCATTCGTCTTGATGATTCAGGCAAGAATACAACAATCCTTGCGCCCCTCAACTCCGCAGTCGAAGCCCTCCCGCGCAAGCCCTGGGAGGACCCTGAAGACTACAACAGACTAGGCACAGATGCCTATGTGGGCGACGATGGTCAGGAGAGGGCTTCACGGAACCTGCGGCGCTTCGTTGAAGCGCACTTGGTCCCTGTAAGCCCCTGGCAGGAAAACCAGAAGGCCCGCACAATCGGCGGCGATGGCGAGGTTTGGTGGGAGAACAAGGACGGCACCAAATTTGTACGTCTTAAGCCTTCTACAACCGAAAATGAGGCCCAAACTCATGTAACGACAGATTCAACCGGGCAATATTGAGGTTGTCAGCATCGCAAGCACTGTCGCCAATGGCGAAGTGGTGAGCAAACCCCCTTACGATATATTGTGGCTCGGGCTGCGTTGACACTCTGAATAGTGGATAATCAAAGGCGTCCGGAACTACGCTTTGTAAGAACTCTGCGGGCTGGGTAGGTGTCAGTATCCAACGAACCCGACAATCGGATTGCAATAGGATACCCACACGATCGATAATGATAGATGAACCATGATCAACGAATGACCTGCCTCGAATCACTGTGACATTGTAAACAAACTGCTGTTCGACAAATTTAAATACTTCCTACTACTGTAGCGGTTGAATGACCATTCTCGGCACTCCAACTTGAACTTACTCTACCAGAACAAAATCTCATGTTTTCTTTGTCACTAACAAGGCTGTCAAATCGCCTTCACATCACGCACCTACATCAATCAGCCCCACCACAGCCAATTCGGGAAGCGAAACTCAATCGCGCTTATCGCACTGGGTGGAGCGCATGATAGTGATTGCCAAGGCGCATTAATAATTATGCGAACCTCCGAAGGGCCAACCAGCGTGAGTGCCCCAGTCGGCAAGGAACGGCCGCGAGCTCTGAGGTCTCGTCACTCCCCCCGTCTGATCAGAGCTTGTCCACAATCCGATAACAGCAAGCCGCGCCAGCGCACTTCACCTTCGACCCTGCTCCCCTCAGCTATACCATCGTAGGCGTTTGAGACTCCTCCTCATGTAGAAGTAAGTCGCTGGAAACTAGGCGCTCTGAAGGTCTAGTCGCGGCTCTCTGCAGATTTTCGATGAGATCCCCTGAAGACCACATCCTCGCTAGAGAGTTGGCGCGATCCTAAGTCTTGCACCATCGCAACCGATCTGAACCGTTCTATTCCTCAACACATCTGAACGTAACGCGAAGACCATTATTCTGACTTTCTTACTACAGGCGGGCGATTTGTCGACGATGAGCGCAAAGAACATGGACGACGCCGAGGCCTTCGAGGCTGACAATCGCCGCCGCATGGCCCAGGAAACCGACGATCTGGAGAGGAGAGAGCGAGAACAAGACGACAGACGGCGAAGGGAGGGCTTCCCACCGGCACCACCACATCACAGTAACGCGGGATCAATACCCATCCACCAGCCGGTCGCGTCGAGGATCTCTGGTGCCATCCACAGCCCTGGTGGCCTCCTCGCAAACCACGGCTCTGCCGCCCCTCCAATGCCTCTTGGAGCGCCTTCAGGGCCTCCCGCCAACTTTGGCGGTCCGCTCCAGGCCGACCAGGCCAGACCTCCCCAGCACGGCGGTCCCAATAACGGCCCCGCGCAGCACCAAATGTTTGCGCCTATCTCTCATCCGACAAATCCGCCGAATGCGCACCCTGGCGCCCCTGGCGGCCCTCCTCCCATATTTGGAGGACCTCTCCAGCAACGCGAAGTCTCACAAGCATTGCAACAAGCGCCATTCGGGGGAGGTGGTGGTGGTGGTGTAGGGGGAGGCGGCGCCAATAACAACAACCCTGGAGCCCAGCCTCCACCAAATCAAGCGCAAGGTGGCCCTGGTCCTGGCGGCGGACTTGCTCAAGGACAGCAGCCAATTTTGAACGTAAGTTGAGACTCTCTTGTCAGTTCTTGCGTCGCAGCAATAAGCAATCGTCGCGTGAAGAGCGTCGCCGTCTTGCAGGACCTGGATTGGGTTTATGCTTCATGTCATATTTCCGCTATTCTCTAAAGGCAACTGGAGTCTTCGGGAAATATGACCATCTTGACTGCTTTGGCATTGCATGGTCTGGACCCATTTGTCTTCGGCTTGAAGCGGCTGGGTGACTTCACCGTCTAACCCGCGTTGCCTCACGTGGAGCTTGGCTGCCACTTGTCAATTCACCGTGTCACTTGGACAGACGACGTATTCACTACAGGAACAAGATGCTGACATATGCCTATCGCAGGATGCTTTGACCTACCTCGATCAAGTTAAAGTGCAGTTCCACGATCAAGCAGATGTATACAATCGATTTCTAGATATCATGAAGGATTTTAAAAGCCAAGCGTAAGTAACACGGAAAGACATTGCGGTGCGCCCAAAGACTGACAGGCAACAGAATTGACACCCCTGGTGTCATCAACCGAGTTTCAGAGCTCTTCGCGGGGCACCCCAACCTCATCCAGGGCTTCAACACGTTCTTGCCTCCCGGCTATAGAATCGAGTGTGGAACTGGTAGTGACCCGAATACGATCCGAGTCACAACACCTATGGGAACCACAGTTCAGTCCATCACAGGCCGAGTCACTCAGCCTGACGGGCCACACGCCCAGCCTGGCGCCGCCCAGCCGCTGTTTGGCCCCCGCAACAACGGCACTGGCAGCTGGCCCCAGCCTCAACAGCCGCAACTGCCTCAGCATAGCATTGAAAGTCCTGAAGCAACCTTCAGCACGCCTGTCCAGAACGGCGCGGCGGCCTTTGGCCAAGCGCAAGGTCTCGGCGCACCTTTCGATGCTCAAGGTCCAGGCCACCAGCGAGGTCCGAACCAGATGCCAGGTAACGCTCCTCCTGTCGCCGGGCAACCTCCACGCAACGCGCAGACACCAACGCCCCAGGCAGGTGCGCCGGGCGTCAACGGTAGTGCTGCTCAGCAAGCCGGACTGGAACGCCGAGGACCAGTCGAATTCAACCATGCCATCAGTTACGTGAACAAGATCAAGGTCAGCTCTATCCTCCCCAACAAGCCCCTGATAAAGTTTTTGATTCGGTAAGAAAGAAGTCCTAACCACATGTAGAACCGGTTTCAGGACAAGCCTGAAATTTATAAGCAATTCCTGGAAATTCTTCAAACATATCAGCGAGAACAGAAACCCATTCAAGAGGTTTACGCTCAGGTCACTACGCTCTTTCACACCGCGCCTGACCTGCTTGAGGACTTCAAGCAATTTCTCCCCGAGTCTGCTGGTCAAGCCAAGGGCACTCCTGGCCGTGCAGCTGATGAAGCTGCCGCGATCGCAGCCATGACCACTCCGGGGCAGAACCCCCGAGATGCACAGAAGCTTCCGCTCATTGGAAGCTTCCCACCGCCCAACAGCGCAAGCAAAGACAACAGCAAGAAGAGGCCGAGAATCGACAAGCAGACGCCGGTGCCTACACCTGCCATTGTTGAAGCTGCTGCTGTTAGCAGTCGCGCACTCCCTGGCGCACCCGTCACCAACAGCAAACGGACTAAGCTTAACCACAAGCCTCTTGCTACCGATCTCCCGGCTATCGAGCCCACCTTGACGCCTATCATGCCTGAGCCAGTCGGACCATCTGCTACTGCAACTTCGAGCCATGACGAGATCGCTTTCTTCGACAGGGTCAAGAAGTACCTGAGCAACAAGACCTCGTACAACGAGTTTCTCAAAGTCTGCAACTTGTTCAGTCAGCAGATTATCGACCGCCCCACCGTCTACCAGAAAGGCAGCGTTTTTCTTGCTGCTAACCCTGAGCTTCTCAGTTTCTGGAAACAATTTCTCAATGTTGATTCCATGGTCGACGTGGTCGACAACCGTCCAGCACCTCCTACCGGCAAGGTGTCTTTGAGTAACTGTCGTGGTTATGGTCCCAGTTATCGACTCCTGCCCAAGCGTGTGAGTATATTATGGACAACCCTTCTTGTGCACCGGTGCTGACTACCACTTAGGAGACGCTCAAACGCTGCAGTGGTCGTGACGAGCTTTGTGCCGATCTCCTCAATGATCAGTGGGCCAGCCACCCTACCTGGGCCTCCGAAGATTCTGGATTCGTGGCTCACCGCAAGAATGGCTTTGAGGAGGGGCTGCACCGCATCGAGGAGGAGCGCCACGACTACGATTTCAACATTGAAGCGAACATTAAGTGCATTCAACTATTAGAGCCCGTGGCTCAGCAGATCAACGTCATGTCTGATGCCGAGAGGGAAGGTTTCGAGATGCCTGCTGCACTTCGCGGTGGCTCCATCCCGGTCTTCAAGCGAATCTGCAAAAAGATTTATGGACTCGACAAGGGCCCCGAGGTTGTGAACGACATGTTCGCCAACCCACTCAATGTCGTGCCCGTTGTCCTCGCCCGGATGAAACAGAAGGACGAGGAATGGCGCTTCTCTCAGCGCGAGTGGGAGAAGGTCTGGCACTCGCAAACCGAAAACATGCACCTGAAGAGTCTCGACCACATGGGCATTCAGGTCAAGCAGACTGATAAGCGGAATCTTTCGGCCAGGCATCTCGTTGATGTGATCAAGACGAAGCACGAAGAGCAGCGAAGACAGCGCAGTTTGACTGGGAAAGCCCCACGTCACCAGTTCGTCTGGAACTTTTCTGACAAAAAGATCATTGTGGAGCTTCTCCGCCTCATGATGCTCTATGCTGTCAACAGCGGCCATCACAGCATTCCTGAGAAGGAAAGAATCACTGACTTCTTTGAGTCTTTTGTTCCCGCATTCTTCGATATTCCCGAGGAAGAGTATGACGGCCAGCTACCCCGTGTTCAAGACGCGTCAGACGAAGACGATGCGGAGGAAAGTGCCCCAGCCGAGCTGACTAACGGGAGAAACCGCCGAAACGGCAAGAAGAGCGACCTGCTCCGTGGTGTTCTTGACCCTGGCCGCAATGGATCTAAGCCTCGTGGCCACAAGGAAGACAGCGCTGCGTCGGCGAGTAAAGAGACAACGCCTGACGTCACCTCCGCCAACGAGGAAGAGATGCCAGATGCGCCTAGCGAGCATCCCGCTCCTCTCGTGTCAAATGAGCGTTGGCTGTCCACTGTTCCTCAGCCCATTGTTACCACTGGAGATGCCTCGCTGCTCACGGACGAGGGCGAACTGAGGGCTGACGGTCTGTTCACCCGACCATGGTACAACTTCTTCAGCAACCAGACCATCTTTGTCTTCTTCAGCGTGTTGCAAACGCTCTACAAGAGACTCAGCGACGTCAAAGAGAGCGCGCGCGATGTTCATGTTGAAGTTGCGCGCCTCAATCGTCCCCGGGTCGCAAGAGAGATTGGCCTCTCGGAGAATCCTATGGACTACTTCGAGGTGGATGATGATATTCCAAAGATCTGGTCCAAGACGGTTGATTTGATCGAGGAGTATGTCACAGGCGAGATTGATGAGGTGCGGTATCAAGATGTCCTCCGCCACTACTACCTGCGCAACGGGTGGAAACTCTACACCATTCCGGATCTTCTCAAGACCCTCAGTCGCCTGGCTCTGACCTGTAGCTCTACCGACACCAAAGAAAAGACTCCGGATCTCATCCACCAATACCTCAGCAACCGTGAGAAGGATGAGACAAACTGGCAGACGGAGATCGCCGCGAGAAAGTTCGCCGAAAAGTGTGTCAAGGATGGCGAGATGTTCGTGATTAGCTGGGTAAGTCTACCTCTCCCTAGATACATCATCGGCTAGGCTAACATGTCGCTTCCAGTTCCCCAACAAGTCCGAGGCAAGCGTTCGCTGGCTGCAGAAGGAAGACACCACCTTCTATATGGATGAGCTCAAGCAGCGTGAGCGCTGGCAGTACTATATCTCCTCCTACATGTCCGTGGAGCCGACTGAGGGCGTCCCTAGAGCGCGCCTCCAGAAGACGGTTCTTGCTCGCAACCTTCCGCCAATCGACGAAAAGGCTGACGACAACTGGACTCCGGCTGTGGCTGCGTTCTCCGAGGGCTTGGCACACAAAGTATGCCTGAACTCGCTGAAGATTGTCTACAAGGAGCGCACATCTGAATGCTTCATCTACGATCACTACTCAAACGTCAAAGACCCCAAGGAGCGCGAGAAGATCACCAGACGATGCCGTGCCGGCAGCAAAAAGCGCGAGGAGGTCATGCGAGAGAAGTACGTGCTCAACAGCAAGTGGATGAAAGATTTGAGTCAATCCGACGTCGAAAAGACCAAGAATGACTGGAACAAGTGGCTCCAAGACGGCGTTGCGCCGCCTGTTGTCAATGGTGACAACATGGACACCACTGACTGAGCTCTGGATTTTCTTATATGACGGGATTGCATATGAAAAGCCCCTAGAGGCTAGGAGGGAGCTTGTGAGATACTCACTGGGGGTTTCCCCAGCCGAAAGATACCAGACGGCAACAACCACATGCATAGTGGTTCAATGGCCGTCACATCTACAGTATTTGGTTGGTCCGTGATTGGGCGTACGCCTCGAGTACACATGGACGAGGCGCAGCAGGAGAAGGTCTCAGGCAGAAAATGGCGCGAAGGATCGGCTCGGTATGGGCGTAGCGTTTTTGATTTCCTTGCCTTGCTTTTTTCTCATCCGCTTTCCCTTTACGCATTCAGGTTTCCGCCTCGTTCTCTCCGTTTCAATGGGAGCAAAGAGTGTCGCCTATGGGGCTCCGCGCCCTCGAATCGACGCCCTCTCGGACTCGCTCTCAACGTTATATTTCTTCAAAAGAAACCTTGACGAGACGATATGGGAGATAGTTGAGGTCGCGGCTCGCGTAAGCCCGACGGACATGATTTTTTTGGAGTTTCGGAATGCTGCCTTTGTAAAACATGTCTTGCTAGCTAGGTTCGAAGCCCGAGAACTAAGAGAATCAATTTTGAACAACACGATATCGTTCGTGTGCGAAGTTTACGGGAATGGTTTACTTCACAGCGCGATGGACGCCACTCTCCTCTCTCCAGATCAAAAAAGAAATTGTGCGAAGTGAACCACAAGTGGATTGATTAAAAAGCAACAGCAGTACATTGCCGTGCCATATATCTAAGATGATGGCCATATGCAGAACTTTTTAGCCCGCAACCGAGTCTCAACTTTTCATGTACCATATCATCGTTGAAAAGAGCATCACATTCTCTCCGGGACGCCCTAGACCCCGCATATAAGGTCTCTTGCTGTCCTGCCGTCTCATCTCCGCAGCGAGACCGTTTATTGCAGGTTCTCGATCACGAGAGCAGAAGCACCGCCACCGCCGTTGCAAATACCGGCGACACCAATCTTAGCCTTCTTCTCGCGCAGGACGGTGGTCAGGGTGGTGACGATGCGGGCACCGGAGCAGCCGAGGGGGTGGCCAATGGCAACGGAGCCGCCAAAGACGTTGACCTTGTCGTCGGAGAGGCCAAGGATCTTCATATTGGCGAGGGCCACGACGGAGAAGGCCTCGTTGATCTCGTAAAAGTCGACGTCGTCGGCGGTGAGGCCGGCGTGGGCGATGGCCTTGGGGATGGCGAGGGCGGGCGCGATGGTAAAGCGCTCGGGCTCGCGGGCGGCGTCACCCCAGCCGCGGATCTTGGCGATGGGGGTGACACCGAGCTCCTTGACCTTGGCCTCGGACATGAGGACGACTGCGGCGGCGCCGTCGTTGATGGGGGCAGCGTTGGGGGCGGTGATGGTGCCGCCGTTGGGCTGGAAGGCGGGACGCATGGCCTTGAGCTTCGCCTCGTTGAGGTTCTTGACCTCGTCGTCACGGTCGACCTTGACGTTGGGCTTGCCGCGGCCGCCCGAGACCTCGACGGGGGTGATCTCCTTGGCGAAGACACCGGCCTCGGTGGCGGCCTGGGCCCTCTTGTAGGTCTGGATGGCGTACGCGTCCTGTTCCTCGCGGGTGATGGAGTGGTCCTGGGCGCAAAGCTCGCCCTGCATGCCCATGTGCTCCTTCTTGCCGTAGGCGTCGGTCAGGCCGTCCTGGAGGACGCCGTCGACGAGGGTCTGGTGGCCGTACTTGGCGCCGTTTCGGAGGGTCGGAAGGTAATGGGGAACGTTAGACATGGATTCGGTGCCGCCGGCCACGACGATTGAGGCGTTGCCAGTGATGATGGTCTGGGCACCGAGGATGATGGCCTTCAGACCGGATGCGCAGACCTTGTTGACGGTGGTCGCGACGACACCTTGGGAGAGGCCAGCGCCGATGGCGCACTGACGGGCGGGAGCCTGGCCGAGGCTGAGAGGGAATTAGCAGGTCGTGGGGAGAGCGATTGGCGGTGACTGGAGGCAGGGGCTCACTTGGCGGAGAGAACGTTGCCGTAGAAGACCTCCTCGACATCCTCGGGCTTAATCTCGGGGACACGCTCGACAGCGGCTGCGCAGCAGGTGAGTGGTTGAAGCACACAAGATGGTCGTATTGGAGAACTAACCCTTAATGGCGTGGGCACCGAGGTCGACAGCGCTCAGGCTAGAGAGAGAACTGGAGAAATGGGGTTGTCAGTCCATGCCATTGTCGGTGTGAGCTTCGGAGCTTTGACGTACCCAAGGAAGGACCCAACAGGGGTTCTCGCGGCGGAGACAATGTAGACGGACGGGAGGTTGGCCATGGTGAAGGTGGATGTGGGATAGGAGGCAGGCTCAGATATCAAACAATGCAAAGGATAGAAGTGATTGACGTTTAAGTATAGGTTTCGAGAGGACAAGTCCGGCTCCGGAGACAAACCAAAAAATGTTGAGTTCTTTGATTCCGCCTTTTGGACGTGGGGTTATGAGCCAGGCAAGCCAAGCATGGGCCCCTCCAACAGCGACGACAGCGGACGAAACCCCTGAACCCCGCTGCTAGGCTCACTATCGGGGATCTGATAAGTGACTGAGGTGCGATAAGCGGAGGGTTTCTTGTAAATCAGTAACACTATTAATAAGCCATTAAGTGGCTCCCTGTTCTAATGCAGCGAAACCCCCCTTCCAATCGCTGCCTGTTAGACATCCAGCCTTGCAGCTGTTTTATGTGGAACCTCAGCCTCGCATCAACTCTCGAGATTTTGCTACTGTCGCGTAGTCGTCATATGTAACAGCCAGACAAGGCTGTTTTGCGACGAACAGCCTTCAACTCACGGCAAAGTAATACATCCGCGTCCCCTTTATCACCTCTGAAAAGATGGACGATCTATACGACGAGTACGTCTTGGGCTACCCTGTTGCTCTGCACAATTATTTTGCTAACGTGTCGCAATCAGGTTCGGCAACTTCATTGGCGAGGAGGCTGGCTCCGAGGAAGCGTCAGAACATGGCGCCAACGCGTCGGACTATGTCTATGGAGATGATGCAAGCGAAGCACCTGTGCCGACAGGCCAGGAGCTGATGGAGCTTGACGGTAATGGCTTGACGCTCTCCCACCGTGTCCGACTTGACGACTAACCACTCGCTAGACGATGGTCCGTCAAATGCCATTATCCTACACGAAGACAAACAGTATTACCCTACGGCGCAACAAGTATATGGCGATGAGGTCGAAATTCTGGTTCGGGAAGAAGACGAGCAATTGCTCACGGAACCCATCGTCGCGCCAGTCGAGCAGAAGAAGTTCAACATCGAAGAAGCCGACCTGCCTCCCGTCTTCTTCGATCGCAGCTTCATGACCGATTTAATGAACTTTCCGAAACAGACGCGCAACATTGCCCTGGCTGGCCACCTGCACCACGGAAAGACAGCATTTATGGACATGTTGGTCCTGGAGACGCACGATATTACCGACAGACTGGAACGCAGGGTGGGCAAGAACCGAGACGAGCAACTCCGATACACAGATGTCCACACTCTCGAGCGCGAACGTGGACTCTCCGTCAAGTCTTCACCCATGAGCTTGGTGCTGCCAGGCACCAAGGGAAAGTCGCACCTTATCAACATCCTCGACACACCGGGACACGTGAACTTTGTCGATGAAGTGGCAGCCGGCTTGCGACTTGTGGATGGTGTCTGCCTGGTGGTCGACATCGTTGAGGGTGTTCAGGTCAACACGGAGAAAATCATCAAGCACGCTGTGCTGGAGGACATTCCTCTCACGTTGATCGTCAACAAGTTTGATCGCCTGATCTTAGAGCTTAAGCTGCCGCCCAAGGATGCCTATTTCAAGCTCAAGCACGTCATCGAGGAGGTCAATACTGTCATAGAGAACACAGTCCCCGGCAAAGGCGAGGCAAAGCGTATCAGCCCCGAGAAGGGCAATGTCCTTTTCTCTTGCACCGATATGGGCTGGTGCTTCACGCTGCAGTCCTTCGCCAAGATGTATGCGGACACGTACGGCGGTATCGACACGGATGATTTTGCTAAGAGGCTATGGGGTGATGTCTACTTCAACCCAAAGAAGCGTAATTTCACCAGGAAGCCCGTTGAGGAGGGAGCTCAGCGTTCTTTCGTTAAGTTCGTGTTGGAGCCAATCTACAAGATTTACACACACACAATCAGCGACAGCCCAGAAGATCTGAAGGAAGTGTTGGGGGGGCTCGGAATCGCGCTCAAGCCTTCTCAATACAAGGCAGATGCCAAGATTCTGCTGAAGTTGGTCTGCGAACAATTCTTTGGACCTTCCACTGGATTTGTTGATATGGTCGTCCGACACATCCCCTCGCCTCTGGATGGGGCCGAGAAGTGGTTGCAGAAATACTACACTGGTCCTTTGGACACCAAGCTTGCGGAGAGTATGAAAACTTGCAACCAAGATGGCCCGGTTGTGGTGCACATCACCAAGCTGTTCAACACGACAGACGCAAAAAACTTCAACTCGTTCGGTCGTGTGCTGAGCGGAACTGCCCGGCCTGGTATGCAGGTACGAGTTCTTGGCGAAGGATACTCGCTGGATGACGAGGAAGACATGGCCATGGCCACCGTCACGGATGTCTTCATCTCTGAGACGAGATATAACATACCGACGGATGGCGTGCCAGCGGGCAATTGGGTTCTTCTCGGCGGCGTGGATAACTCGATTGTCAAGACTGCTACAATCGTTCCCCCAAAGCTGGATGATGATGAGGACGTGTTCATTTTCAAACCTTTGACACACTTCACTGAATCTGTGCTCAAGGTGGCTGTGGAACCTATCAACCCTTCAGAGCTACCGAAGATGTTGGACGGCCTGCGAAAGATCCAGAAGAGTTACCCACTCATCGTCACCAAGGTGGAGGAGTCTGGAGAGCATATTGTACTTGGTACAGGAGAGCTGTACATGGACTGCGTCCTCCATGACCTGAGGCGGCTCTATGCCGACATGGAAATCAAGATCTCTGATCCCGTCACTCGCTTCTGCGAGACTGTTGTGGAGCAATCGGCTACGAAATGCTACGCCATCACACCGAACAAGAAGAACCGCATCACGATGATAGCGGAGCAACTTGACAAGGGGATATCCGAAGATATCGAGTCTGGAAAGGTGAAGATTCGTGACCCTATTCGCAAGACAGCAAAGTATTTCGAAGAAACGTACGGATGGGACAAACTAGCAGCGAGGAGTATTTGGGCCTTTGGGCCTGACGACACTGGCCCAAACATTCTTCAAGACGACACACTTCCCTCTGAGGTTTGTTGAACTCTCTCTTCTCCTCCATTTGGATGACGCTAACATTGTGAAAGGTCGATAAGAAGCTCCTGACTGGTGTCAAAGAAACCTTGCGACAAGGATTCAGCTGGGCAACCAGAGAAGGCCCACTTTGCGAAGAACGTGAGTTCATAAACCCTGCCCAACCTGTCGTCGACGTCTTGTCATGGACTGGAGAGCTGACCGACACTCAATAGCTATTCGCAACACCAAGTTCCGTGTGACGGACGTTGCTCTCGCGCAGGAAGCAATCTTCCGTGGTGGTGGCCAGATCATCCCCACATCACGCCGCGCCTGTTATTCTTCCTTCTTGATGGCATCACCACGCCTGATGGAGCCCCAATACGCTATTTCTGTGACTGGGCCCGAAGATTCAGCAACCGAGGTTTATACCGCCCTTGCTCGTCGTCGCGGCCACGTTCTTTCAGATGGTCCTATACCCGGTACCCCGTTGTATCGTGTGAACGGACTGATCCCCGTCATCGACTCGTTCGGCTTCGAAACAGCCCTACGAATCCAGACGCAGGGGTCTGCAATGGTCAGCATGACCTTTGACAGTTGGAGTATCGTGCCAGGAGACCCTCTTGACAAATCTGTCGTGGTGAAGCCCCTACAGCCTGCAACTGCTCAGGCCACGGCGCGTGATTTCGTACTGAAGACGAGGAGGAGAAAGGGCCTCAGCGAGGACGTCAGCGTTGCGACGTTTTTAGAGCCTGAGTTCTACCAGTCACTGATGGAGAACGGAACGCTGGAGTCTTAGGAGACGGACAGCAATATGGCCTCTAATCTACGTCAGGTGAAGATGGAATGACTGGCTGTTCGGCGTAACGGGGCGTGGGAATGCCATGATTGGACTGAAAGGGATATTCTGTACTACAAAACACAACACTTGAGTCCATCTGATCCATCATTGGCCGTGCAATGGACACACTGGCAATACTATCACGCAGATCAGGCTCAGGAGCGCAGACGCAAAGCAAGGCACTCTGTCCGACGTGTGCTGGCGCCACGCAGAAAGCACTTGCCGACTTTCGAAATGGCTGTGGCGTCGACGCTGAGCTGCATTGATCTACAGAGCCCTAACAGGTATCCCTTTGGCCCTGAGAGAAACGCCGCTTGCGATGACGACGCAGCCGATAAACGTGCATCTACTCTGGAAACCTTGACTCCACCCAACTGCAATAGGCGCGCAAGAGGACGATTCTAGCAGATTCGGCCCGCCTATCTCTCTTTCAGCGTGATCAACGGCGAGAGGAACTGGAGAGTCATGGGAGGTCCCAGGCGGCGAAGCCGTCGGCTGGCAAGACCGGCATTCTGTACCGACCCCCCCCCCCCCCCCACCCCCCCAGATTCATGGG